ACCCAATCAACACAACCCAAACCAATCAATCCAATCAACCAACCCATCCAACCCAGTCCAACTAAACCAAACCAAACAGATTGCCATCGAGTCAATTCTGAGTCGCAGCAATGCCTCACACAGGACATTATGCTCAGCGGAGCTGGTTAACCTCCTGAAGTCAAATGCGGCATAAGATCACGATCATCAAAGCAAAGGAACCCAGAAAAATCGTTTTTGTATCCAAAGAAGTAGACTTTGAAGATTATGGGGAGGCCAGGGAGAGAGGGTGGGGATGAGGGAGGGAGGAGCAGAAAAATAAATAAGACACACACATACACACAAATGACAAAATAAGTCTTTACGGGAGCAGACAGCCTGCTCTTTCTCCGCTGTAGCACATAGTTAATGTCTGATGATTCAATAGCGTGAACTTCTGGGTGGTTAATTTGTTGTCATTATTGTTATTTCTGTCCTTGAAGGGGAGGTCCCTGGGCTAAGTACTTGATGACTAGTTGAATGATTGGTGGTTCGAATCCACTTGGAGGTGACTTGGAAGACAGGCCTGAGAGTCTGCTCCCGAGCGGCTGCAGCCTGGGAAAGACTGTGGATCAGGTCTAGGCTGCACACAGGGACGGGGTGGCCAGCAGTCAGACTGACTAGAGGACAATCACAGTCCTTCAGGTAGAGGGAAGCTGGAGGCCCGGACTCGGGCGCCACAGTGCAGGGCGGGTTCTGAGACCACCGGTCCCAGTGGGAGGCTTCAGAGAACCCAAACTCACTGCCTTCGAGCTGATGTTGACTCACAGTGAACCCAGCGCACAGGACAGAGCTGCCCCAGTGGGTTTCCAAGACTGTCACTCTTTATGGGAGTGGAAAGCCTCGTCTTTCTCCTGAGGAGCTGCTGGTAGTTTCAAACTGCTGACCTCGTGGTTACCCGTCCAATGCATAACCGCTAGACTGCTGGGGCTCCTACTGGCTTATTAACTGCTAAATTCCTGTGGCGATGACTTGCTCTGACACTGTATTGGGCATGAGGGTCCAGGGACTGAGCTCGGGGTGAGCTGGTCCTTCTGGAAGAGGGTTCTGAGAAGTGAGAGAGCTGCAGGGTGGTGAGGGAGGGAGGAGGGACGCGGGAGGAGGAGGAGGAGGGAAGGGTGGAAGTTGGGAGGGAAGAGGAGGCAGAGGCAGAGGAGGATGGCAGAGGAAGAGAGGGGAGGAGGGAGGGCCGGAGGAGCGCCCGGGGGTGCAAAGCTGAACGTGACAGGGGGAGTTCTCTGAGCCACGTGAGCGGTGAAGGGCGTGCACGGATCGCCACTGCAGGCAGAGTCCCAACATGGAATTTTAATTCCTGTGATAGAAATAGACAAAGAGTCCCTAAGTGGACAACAGTGCAGAATATACAAAACAGCCAGCGCCTGAGAGTGTCCTATTCGGAAATTCCCCAGACCCCTTTAAAATATCTATGCGAGAAACGCTCTGAAAATAGGCCAACGGTTGCATTTGCGTTTATTGGGTGGCTTCCGGCACGGATGCGTTTGGTTTTCTCTGCGCTGTTTAATGAGAGGGGTCACAGAGAGCCACTGCTGTCGGCATTCGGAGGGGGGCTGGCACGGGAAACAGCGGGGACACGGGGCCCACGGTTATCTCTTGGTGACCCTGGACATGCAGCTACGCTCTCCACGAAGCGGAAGAATCAAACTAGCTGAGGGGCTAAACAGCGGGCCGTAATGTCTACTGTTGGGAGAGGTGTGATGGGGTTCTAGACTCTGTCTACATATATATGCTTTTGAACTCTTGGTATCTTCAGGGAGGACACAGGCCAAAGAGGGACCTATTAAACTAAGGGATGAAGTGGACAGACGAGAAACGTGGCCGTATTTGCAGCGGCTGGTGGAGCGTTCACCCTGATGCACAGTAGCCGTGAGTCCTGGGGGTCCCGTGTCTTGGGGGACAGTTTCCCAGTTATCAGCAGGGTTACGGGGAGCAAAATTCTATAGGTCAGAACTGTGGCCTGCTCCATACCATGTTTCAAGGCCATTGAAGAGGAAAGCTATTGAACTGTCTTTAAAAGTTTTATCAATGCAAAACACATGTAGGCTCATCTTAATGAGAAAAAAGAGATGATTAGGCCCAGAAGTCCCAGGTTTAGCAGGAGAAAACTGGGGCCCAGGAAGGAACAGGCAGTCTGGGGTCAGCGGGGAGGCCACTTCCTGCCCTTGGCGCAGCAGAGCTTCCACAGGATGACTCTGTGAGATGGGGAAACTGAGGCACAGTGACCTGGTGTCACTAGTCAGAGGTCACCCAGCTGGCAAAAGGCCCAGCTGGGATTCCTACGTACAACCCCAGACCCAGATCTCTGCCCTCACTTCCCTCTTCGCCCAGCGTCACCGGTGTGCTCACTGGGGCCTCTGCCTCCATCAACAGTGGGGCCAGGTGAGGCAGGTGTTTGAGCTGTCTCTCGTGACCCCTTTAGGGGACAAGGTAGGTCTCAGAGGGTAGGGAGAGGAGGTGACTGGGGGTGGGGTGGGGGGTGTCTTGGGGACCTCTGTGCATGGCAGAGCTGTGGCTAAAGTCAAAGCCACTTCCCAGCCCCTGCTGACCACACTGGCAGAAATGTCACTCTGCTCAAGGTGACCCAGTTTGAGGAAAGCATCTCACCGGCAGAGGCCAAACTATAACGGTAGCCAGTGGCTAGGGCCACGGTCCCCTGCCCAGAGCAGTGCAGTCTCTTAGCATCCTCCTGTCCACGCTGGGAGCATTCTGGGCGGGGAGGCACGTGCTCTGCAGGGAGGTACCCTGGCTGTTGACTAACCAGGAGACCCACTGCCACAAAGTCCATTCTTACAGGACGGCATAGACTGGCTCTGTAGGGCGCGAACAGCCTCGTCTTGCTCCTGGGGGGCGTCTAGTAGGTTTGAACCTCTGACTTTGCACTCAGCAGCTCAACACTAACCCACAGTGCCACCAGGGTCCCCTGGACAGTGGAGTGCCCAGATGTATACGAGAGTCCGTGGACGGAGGCAATAGAGAAAACAGCAGCAGAGAATCGGAGAACGCTGATCTGAGCCTGGCTCCTCCCCGCAGGGTGTTCCCGGAGCGAGGCAGCCAGGCCTTTGTGTTTCTTCCCGCAATGGTGGGCCAGGGGCTGATCTCCCTCCTGCACCTGGGAGGACCTTGGGCTGGGAACAATGTCATTCCATGTAACCCTCAGCTGCAGGCCCATGGAAGGAGCCCTGGGCTTGGCAGACAGCCTCCTAGACCTCATTGTGGGCAAACCCTTTACCCGCTCTGTGCCTCTATTTCCTCATCTGCGCAATGGGGGCACTTACTTGTCCCCTTGCACGTCATCAGCATGGGCACAGGGGCATGGGGTAAGAACAAGTCCCAGGCAGCACGTCCCAGCCTGGGTAGTACAGAGCCCCCCGGGCCTCCCCTCTGCAGGACAGAAGTGAAGCCTCCCGCCCCGGCCCTCTCTTCTAGAGCTGAGTTGGGGCGAGGCCGCTGACCCCAGGACCCTAGCTAGGAGACCACCCTCCGGAGGTGGTTCATAGCAACCCTCCCCCCCTGACTTTTCCCTCACTGCCTCCTGGGTTCATAGCACCCCCACCCCCACCTCTCCTGACTTTTCCCTCACTGCCTCCTGCTACCTTTGGCCCTTGTGGAGCTTCCTGTGACGGCAACAGCTGCTTCCTAAGGCAAGGCTGTGAGCCCCAGTCCCCCGCCCCAAGCCCTTCCTCGAGGGGAGCAGGCCTGAGTCTTTTGTCCTCACTGGCGCCAGGAAAGAAGGAGATGGAAGCCCCCCTTTCCTGCCCCCACACTGGAGGGACTGGGTGGGGGAGGCATTTCTATAAACAGCCCAGGGAAGAGGGGCTGGGGGGTAGCGGGTTTCCTGCCAGTGAGTTTGTCAGAGGTGTGGGGTGGGAGGCGACAGGTCCTCTCCCAGGGAAGGTTCCCGGGCAGGTAGCTTCAGGCAGTATTTTCCCCTCTTTAGAAAATGAGCCCAGAGGCCCCTCCCCTCAGCCCCCTGTTCCCCCAAACACCAACCTCAGTGTGTGCCCCACGGCAGAGGAAGAAGGCATAGAGAAACATGCCTGGAGGGTCCCAGACAAAGGTGGGATGGGGGTCTGTCTGCAGGTCTGCGCCCCACTCGCTATTTGGGCCACCTCCTGCTGTGTGACCTTGGGAGAAGACCTTTACCCTCTCTGGGCCTCTGTTTGTTCTACAAAAGCAGACCTGACTCTCTGAGCACATTCTGGGGTGCAGTGTCCCTGTGCTGAGAGCCAGACACGATGGCCTCTCAGGTGCCCGCTGGGTCTAGCACTGTGGGCTTCTGGTTGTAAAGGGTAGGCAGGGAGAGGGCATTGAGTCGGGGCAAGAGGACATCAAACGCCCCCCCACCCCCACCGCCACCTCTTGCCAGGCCCTTGGTGGGAAGCCAGAGTGGGCACTCCTTGTGCCACCTTCTAAGTCAGCTCAGACACAGAGGCAGGACCCAGAGAGAGTTCTGACTCCCAGGTCCCAGGGACCTGAGCTTGGGCTTCAGCCTACCTCTTTCATGACCATGGGTGACAGGCCGGCCTTCTGGTGCTTCTCAGTTTCCATGGCTACGTGCACTGAAAGAGACCCTGCAGAAGACCCAGAAGTCAGCACCAGCCTGCAGCAGCTCCCAGAGAGAGGGCCGGGGCCCCTCTGCCACCAGGGGACGACAGAGGGAGTTAGCCGGCAGGATGGACAGAGCTGTCCTTTCCAGCCCAGCCTCTGTCCCATGCCCCACCCCCTGCGGTCAGTGCCTAGAAGAGTCCCGCGTGGGCCAGAACCTGACTGGGGAAGGAATTCTGGGGTCCAAGGCTGTGCTTCTTAACCTTCATGTGCACCCCTTCCTGTGTTACCTTAAAGCGCCTTCAATGCCTGCTCACAGCAACCCTATAGGACAGAGTAGAACTGCCCCGCTGGGTTTCCAAGGCTCTGATCTTGACAGAAGCCGACCACCCCCTCTTTCTCCTGGGGAGCAGCTGGTGGGTGTGAGCCACAGACCTCCCCGTTTGCAGCCAGGCTGTAAAGCACCACGCCACCAGGGCTGCCTCCTGTGTGCACAGGGGCCCAGACAGATGAACATGCAGATTCTGACTTAGCAGTCTGAGGCGCTGCGGTTTGAACAGTGCCCCTGGGGGTGGCCTTGCTAGCTGGGGACCACAAATTTGAAGGGCAACGTGCTAAGTGCCTCTAGGCTGTGGCCCTGTGTGCCCCCTCCCTGGGAATGCCCTCTAGACCCCTCTGAGGACCCTGGAGAAGCAAGCCAAGCTATCTTGAGAGCCACATGCAGGCCAGGAGGAAGGCCTCAGATCCAGGGAGGGTCTGCTCTTGACCCCCATGGTGGTCATGTGGCCCCTTGGGAGGTGCTCAGCGCAGGCCAAGGGGCAGTGACCAAGCATCTGCGCGCACCTGCAGGCAGCTAGACTCCAAGCAGCTCGGCAGGGAGGTCGAGGCTGGGGTGACCAGCTTGAGGGGTTTCCCCTGCCTTGAAGCCTCTGGAGAGAGGAGGAGCCAGGGTCACTCGGGCAGACAGCCCTGTAGACAGTCCGCGAGGCTTCTCCCTGACAGACCAGGCCCCACCCCTGCCGGGGCAGACAGCTCTCAGGCCTAAGCCCAGCAGATCCTTCCTCCTGGAAGTCACACGAGGTCCCGGCCACCTTCACTAGGACGCCACTGGCTACTTTCCTGCTCTCTTACACGCACACGTTTGGCTCTCATACTGGACTCGGCGTGTCCCCTCTCTGTGCCTCGGTTTTCTTCCCTGTAAATGGAGGGACTTCTCACGGGGAGTTCCCAGCTCCTCCACACGCATGGATTCCTGGTGGCATCGGGCTGCTAATTTCAAGGTCATAGGTTCGTGACCACCAGCCACTCCATGGGAGCAAGATCGGGCCGTCTGCTCTCAGCAGTCGTCCCAGCCTCGGAAACGCACAGGGCAGGCCTCCCGGCCCAGGGTTGCTGTGAGTCAGCATCCACTCGATGGTCGTGAGTTTTTTTTAACTCCTCCATCTGGGTGAAGGAACCCCGGGTGCTTTGGGATCAGCGCTGGGCGGCTGACCACAAGCTCGGCAGTTCAAACCCGCCGGCCGCTCTGCAGGGGAAAGGCGAGGCTGTCTGCTCAGCCTAGAAACCCCAGGGAGCCCGTCTAGCCTGTCCTGTCGGGTGTCCAGGAGTCAGGATTGGCTTGAGAGCTGCGGGTGAGGTCGGCCGTGAGTGGTTCTTCACTCCTCCACGGGGCTGAGGAGACTCATCAGAGGTGCAGTGCGCCAGCAGGGCTCACATAAACGCTCGCTGGCCGCATGCTCGGGCCTGCAGGGACTCAGTGATGGGGGGTGGGGGTGGGTGCGGTATCATGAGCTGAGCCCTGCAAAGCCGACTCAGGAAACAAGAAAAGCTGAATCGGTTTCATCACGAATTATTTTAAATTCGATCCTATGTTGGAATACAAACATTTTAGCTATATCAGGTTAAATATACTCTCCTGTTACAATTAACTGGGCCTATTTTCTTTTCCTTCTCCGCGCCCCCTATAGCTCTTCTCACAATGCACACATCAAATGTGCCAGGCATGCTTGTACATACGTGGCCATCGTTTGCTAAACATTTACTTTCTATTTGAGCCGTTGGTATCGGCTCCTCTTTTTTCCCCTCCCTCCCCTGCTCCCACCCTTGTGACCCCTTGATAAATCATAAATTATTTTTAGTTTCCTATCTGACACCGACAGCTGTCTCCCTTCCCCCACGGTTTCTGTTGTTCGTCCTCCTGGGGTGTGGTTATGTGTCCATCACTGAGATGGGTTCCTCCTTCCTCCCCTCCTCTCCCCACCTTCCCCCTACCCTCCTGGTGTTGCTACTCCCCTTTCTGCTCCCGAGGGGTTTATCTGATCTGGATGCCGTGTGTCATGAGCTCTAATCTGTACCTGTGTACAGGCTCCGGTCTAGCCCGCAGTGAAAGGCAGGGCTGGGGTCATGATAGTGGGGGGTGAGGAAGCCTCAAGGAACCAGAGGAATATTGTGTGTTTCATCGGTGCTGTCTTGCGCCCTGGTTGACTCATCCCTTCCTTGTGACCCTGTGTGAGGGGCTGCCCCATTGTCTACGGATGGGGTTTGGTCTTCTCCCTGGTTAAATGCAGCTAGTAGCGACTTTCAAAGGACCCCCATGGCTTACATTCTGCTCCTGTTGGACCAGGTTGTTCAATATAGCAGAAATTACACCTATCTGTGGTCTGAGGAAACAGGCTCAGAGAGGTTAGGTGACTCGGCCAAGGTCACACAGCGAAAAGGTCTCAGAGCTGAGATTTGAACCTCAGCCTGTGGCTGGGACTGAGTACCCTGAGAGACCTGGTGGAGGTATGGGGCCATGAGGCTTAGCCAGCTGGAGCTCAGGGCGTGGTCCAGTGTTGGTCCAAACGCCGGACCTGCTGAGCCTGGAGTTGCTGGGGTGGATAGGGATGAAGGATGGACAGACCACTTTTCTCTCTTGCTTGTTGCCTCGTATCTCAGCCGGACACCCTGAGGCCCACAGGTCACTTGCGGGAGGAACAGAGGCGGACTGTGGGTCTCAGAGAGGGTCACCTTCCCACCTCCCGCACACTCTTGCTCACCTTCTCCCCTCCGACGGAGCACACAGCTGCCGACAGCCACCAGGCTGGCAGCCAGCACAAGGCCCAGCAGCACCAGGACCGGCGCCAAGATGCGCACCAGCGGGACCGAAACCCTGGGGATGAGATGGGGGGAGGGGCCCAGGTGGTCACCAGCGAAGCCAGCACCTACGAGCCCCAGGGTCCCAGGCCCAGGGCTGAGGACATCCAGCCCCAGTGTGAAACCCCATTCGGTCCAGGGCTCACAGCACCCGGCATGCGTTCTTTCCTTTACCTGGCGGCGACTCTGAGGCCAGCCACCTGGGTTCAAGCCCTTGCTCCACCATGTCCTAGATGGGTGACCTTGGCAAGGGACTGAATCTCCAAGGTGTCCACGTTCCCATCTACAAAATGGGAACGATCATAAAACGGAGGGCCCCTGGGGGGGCACCCCTGGGTCAGCGTTCCACTCCGAGCTGAAAATGTGCCTATTCAAACCCACCCCAGGCCCCTCAGAACAGAGGCCTGGCTGGCTGCTTCTGAAAGGTTGTAACCTTGGAAACGGGTGCAGAGGTCTCCCCGCACACCCGGGGCACCAGGGGCTGAAGCCCACAGCTCACCGCGGGAGTAAGTCTCGGGGGCTTGCGGGAGAACGGGATGGGTTTGGACATGCTTCGCTCTGTGCCTGACAAAAGTTGAGCTAGTACTTGTGTTAGCGATCGAAGGAGCCCTGTTGGTGGAGTGGTGACACGCTGGGCTGCTGACCACAAAGTCAGCGGTTCAAACCTACCAGCTGCTCCGCAGCAGAAAGCATTGGCTTTCTCCTCCTGTGGAGGAATTTCCATCTCAGAAACCCACAGGGGCAGTAGGGCCCTGTCCTCTAGGGCTGCGCTGAGCCAGCATGGACTTTGAGTTTGAGTGTTAGCTATGAACAGTGACCACTGTTTACCGGGGTGGGGGCGGGGGCTGGCCTGGCTTTGAGGGGCCCTGGTGGCGTCATGGTTGGAAGTTACAAGAAGGGGCTTTCTCCTTCCATCAAGAGTTAACCGTCTGCGGAACTCACCAGGACAGTGCCACCCGACCCTCTCCCGCAGGGGTGCCATGATTCGGCGCCGACTCGATAGCAGTGCGTTGGGTGTTTGATTTTGGACCTGATGTCGCACACGGGGGCCCGACCCTTGAAGACATTAAGCAGCTCCTCCCTGAGGTCTGGGCTCCGAGCAGTGGGTGCTCTGGACCGTTGCTCGCAGTAGCCTCTACTGGTTGACACCATTGTCATGCTGGGGACCAGGGTGTTCTTTGCAAAAAGTGACACCTGATTGGGCTTTTGGTGGAAGTCTGCATCGCGGGCGAGGTGCCTGGTTGCTCATTACCACCCAGATGGTTCAGTGACGTTACAGCGTCTGTCACAGCGTGTCAGCCCTCTCCTTCATTGTGCCCAGTTGGTTCCTTTTCCAGCCCTCTGGGTTTCCTGGTTCCTTAGCTGCTCATCTCTACTCTGGGGAAATTGCTAATCTTTGGGTCCCCTGCGGATGGTTTCTAAGGAGGGTAACAGCCGTTGTCTTGGGTGCCACGCCACTATTTCACTGAAGGGGCGTCCCAGGGGATGCTCCATTCTAGGGGTAAAGAGGGCCTCAAGGGAGCGTCTCAGGAAGTCCTCTGTCTCAACTGTTCCCATTGGCTGGCTTCTTAAATACGCATTTGAGTTCTGCTCCATATTTTGTTCTTCAATTTTATCCACGACCCAATATAGTGACCCTGGTTGGCGTGGTTTCTGGTGGGAGCCGGGCACCGTCCACTTCTTCCGGTCTCAGGGCAGAAGAGGCTGCAACACAGCCTCCTTGTTTGTAGGCCCACTCACGCCCTGGTCTCTCTCAAGGACCTCGGAGGGCACCAGGGATCATGGCAGCTGGTCAGCCCACATGTTTGCCCGGCTGGCAGGGAAGGGACTCCAGCCTCAATGGCCAGGCCCAGGAGATACTTTCAACTGGGCCCGAACCTGCCAGCAGCTACCTGGCTGTCAGTGATCTGAATGCAAGGACCACTTGGAGCTTTGCTCCTTCATTCTAGTTGCTTCAGGCTGGGGTTTTCATTTTAACTTAAACAAAATTTTTCAGGTTGACCTAGGACCCCCTGGAAAGCATTTGGGCCAAAGCTACTGAACCAGGGTCGTGGGACAGGGAGAGGGCTGGAGCTGTGGGGGACACCCCAATTTGGTGGAGGGACCTGTGCGTCCAGAGCATCAGGGCTGCTGCTTTCGGCAATGCAAGTTGTTCCCTGCTCTTGAGCCCTGCTCGGAGGGAGGGTGAGTGGGGCTGGAATCTGCACTGCCCAGGAACCTCCCGCCGAGGCTAGAAGAGCCTGCCTGTATCCTCCTCCCGGAAGAAGGGCCATTGAGTTCTCATGTGCACAAAGGCACCTATGGCTTGGTGACAGCCTGAGAGAGATGACCTTGGCCACCTGGGACTCACCTGGACTTGGAGCTGCTGCTGGGGATGGGGCTGGTGCCCTTTGCTGAGGTGGAGTCCAGCTGCATGGTCAGGTGGGAACTCCCTGCAGAAGGAGAGGTCGCTGCGTGAGGATGGGTCGCTGCATGAGGACGGGTCGCTGCATGAGGACGGGTCGCTGCATGAGGACGGGTCGCTGCATGAGGACGGGTCGCTGCATGAGGAGGGGCTTCTGTGTTTACTGAGGATCCTGCGGGTACGCGCAGGGAGGTTCCTGTGTGTGGAGGGGCGGTGGCCCCTGTCTTCCCCTGCTTGGCTGTGGTGACTCTCAGGTGAAGACCAGGAGAAGCTATGAGGCCAAAATCAATGCTTCAGCACCTTCCTGACCCTTGTCCCCCAGCCTCCCCAGCCCCCGGATCTCCCGAGTCCAGCCTCCCCGGGACCAATTCCTCAGAGCCGTCCCGGCAGAAGCCAGCCGAGGTCCGGAGACCAGTTTGAATGCTCAGATCACAGATGGGCATACCCCACCTCTGAACTGGTTCCATCCCTCTTTGTACCCATAGCCTGGTCCCTCCGTGAGGCCCTGGCCAACTGTCACCTCCCTGCTCCTCACTCAGAAGAGCAAGGCTTCAAACCATGGGGCCTCGGTCTCCTCCCCTTGCCGCAGGACAGGCTGACAGGGAAGGCTCTGGAGCTTAGGGCCTGAGCCTGGCCTTTCCTGCTTGTCCCTTAGGCCCTGGGGGGAGCAGACAGGGCCCCAGCGTCCTGGTCGGGCTGTGTCTCCTCTCTGCCTCTGCTACTTCCTCTGTGACCTTGACGGAGGGGCCAGACCCCACGGAGCCACTCCCAACCTCTGTCCTCTGATGGACAATCCAGCTCCCAGGCTTGCGGTGGGGGTGGGGGAATAGCTTAGTGGCCAGAGTGTAGGGTCAGGCCCTTAGAGAAGGCATGAAGGAGGGACACGAGGGGTCACTCACTCAATTCTGGGGACTGAGTGTGCCAAGCGTTTGCCTTGGGCTCGAGGCTCCTTGTTGCAAGAGGCTGGAAGGAGGGAGGAGGGGAGAGGAGACAGCAGGGCCCTAGAGGGATGGGAGAGGCCGATCTCAGATGAGGGGGCCCCTGCTCCCCCATCACCGCTCTGCCTAGGTCCCTACCTCAGAGCAGCCAGCAGCTCCTCTCAGCCAATCAGGAGCCCAGAGGGTGGTTCCAGCTGCTAAGCTGAGCCACAGTGTCCCCCTCCTGGCGTGCCCTTGGCCTGCAGCTTAGCTCAGGTGCTCAGCTTCCCTTGTGTCCCCGGCTGCCCAGCCCATCCCTTCCTGGCCAGCCCGCACACTTGAGGCCAGTTTTGTCTGTAAGACCTGGATTGAATCTCGTGACTCCAGCTGCTGAAGAGTTCGTGCCTCTCTGCGGTCTGGAAGACAGCACCCAAACTCTGCCCACTCGGGTTTTCACCCACCCGGCAGCTCCTGCCCACCCGGGTGCTCCACCCGGGCAGAACTCCCGCACCCTCCATTCCCTCCCCCGCTCCTCCAGGCCTTTGGCACGTTCTTCCTCCTGGGCAATGCCTTTCCTGTTCTCAGTATCTAGAGCAAAAGACCTTCTTCGAAAGGAGCAAAGCCCTTTCCCCTTTGGGTCCCACCCTCCTTCCCAGCGCCCCTTGCAAGCTGCCAGCAGGGACAGGCCTCCACTGTGCCGCGGGCTCTAGTGCACCAAGACAGCCTGAGAAGAGAGGCTTGTCGAGCTGCTTCTGAAAGCCAGCCAATGGCAACTCCGAGGACCAAGATCCCCTCTGCCAGGGGCAGTGGCAAGGAGGGCAGGGCCAGGCGGCGTTTCACTCTGCTCCATACGGCAATCATGAGCCGGGGCCTACTTGATGGCAGTTAGCAACACCGCGTTCCCCGGGGCTGACGACCTACCTCCAGCGCCCAGAGCCAGGCCCAGCACGGCGGGCAGACCCCAGCCACCAAGCTCTTCCGACTCCTCCAGGGCTCTTAGTGGCCGCCCCAGTGTTTTACCTTCCCTGTCCCCCCTTTCTCTGCTCCACCTCGAGGCCCGTGTCTCCTCAGACGTTCTAAGTAGGTGATCAGACAGAGCGCTTGTTTCTCTTTCCCTGTTGAGTGCTCATAGCTCGTTGCCTTGCTCTGCTGGGGCTTCTAGCCCCGACAGGTCTCAAGGCAGGAGACTGGTACCCTTGTCTCCTCCCTGTCCTCCCTAGAAAGCCCTGCAGGGTCACCCTTCGCTGAGGATGGCTCATGCTGGCTCCCTGGGGAGGGGGTGGGGTTGGTATGTTTTCAAGAGTCTGGCCTGCTGATGGAGCCCTGATAGTGTAGTGACCCCAAGGTCAGCAGTTGGAAACCCCCAAGCACTCCCTGGGAGACAGATGAGGCTCTCAGATTCACTGTCTTGGCACCCCCAGGCGCGGTCCACGCTGGGCTCCAGGGTCGCTATAAGTCACCGCTGGCGGAAGGGCAGTGAATTTGTTCTTTTTGGTTTTAGCCCATCGATAGTTAAACTGTTGGCGCCTGGAAATTGGCCCCGGCAGAAGCATTTGCACCCCAGTAATAGCCACACACTACAAATCCAGGCTCCCTCTCCCCCCAGGCACCGGGGCTTAAATGGTGATCAGCGGTCTCCGGCTGAGTCCTCGATGCCGGCTGTCTTCCGGGAGACCAAATGGAACGCTGCCCGCTCCGGCGCTGTCTCCCTGACCAGTGGCCGGCTATTGTGGTGATTGTAGCAGTTTCCGGAGCTGATTTTGGAACGTAGAGGGCCAGGCCTTTCTTCCTAATCTCTTTTAGCCCGGAAGCTCTGTCCAAACCCGTCCAGCATCATGGCCACACGTAAGCCTCCCCTGACACTCGAAGGGGGTGGCTGAGCACGAGGCACCGTGGCCAGGAATCAAACCCGGTTCTCCCACCGGACCACCGGCACCGACCTCCTCCTCCCTCTCATCAGACTCTCCCACTTGCAATGTCTTCCGAGAGGGGCTGGTAAGAGCTGCTCCCGGACGGTAGTAGAATGACCGCCTGTCATTTATTTGTGTAGCTCCCGTACACACAAGGAAAACAACAACAGCGGGAACTAACCAGAGGAAGCCATCCAGGAGATGGACTGACACCGTGGCTGCAGCAACAGGCTCCAGTCTAGCCATGGGGGTGAGGATGGCGCAGGACCGGGCAGGCTCCCGGAGGGTCTCTGAGAGTGTGGTCCTGGACTCGATGGCCCCTCATGACCTCCGCACGCCATCCACAAACCAATAATTACGACCAAGACCACCGAGGAGGAATGCCCGAACGGAACAAGCAGAACCCTGGAGGGCCCGGGGGAACGTGCAGTGAGTCACAGCGAAGTCAAGAGGGGTCCTGGGCAGTGCTCACGTGCTTGGCTGTGAACCCAAAGGTTAGTGGTTCGAGCCCACCCAGTGGCATCTCAGAAAGGCCTGCGATCTCCTGGCAGGCCCGTCACTGAGAACCGTGTGGAGCACAGTTCGGCTCTGACATGTGATGCACATGAGGTCTGAGGAGAGATGAGCAGTGGCAGGGGTCAGCGGGTCGTGTGAAACAGTGAATGAGTTCCACGTGGCTTGGCCGCGGCTGTGAGTTTGCACCGAGTTCCCTGAATGAAAGTCCAGGCGGTGAGTAGGCTGGGACCAGCCCCAAACCAGGAACCTCCAGCTCCACTCAGCCTGCAGTCACACCTGGGGGTAAAGCCTTATCTCTTGGAGCCTCAGTCCCCCCCACTGGGAACTGGGGGGGCCCTCTTTTGCCCTGCCTGTGTCTGGCAGGTGCTGTCTGACCACTTCCCGGGCGCTCCCTGGCTCCCTTCCGCTCAATTCAGGGCACTTAGAGAGCGGCTCCACCCCTTTCCTGGCCCATGGCTTCAGCCCCAGCCCTGGAGCCCACAGTCTGCCGTCTCGCAGTCTGTCTGCCAGTGTGTCTCACTGTGGTGACTTGGGTGCTGCTGGGCTGCTGGCAGCTATCCCATCAGCATGTCACATGCCAGCAGGGACCCCCATGGTGGACAGTGGGGACTCGGGAGAAAGGCCTGGTGAGAAGCCGATGGGTCCCCACAGAACCTTGTCCACCTTGCTTGCTTTAGACCCATCCTAAGGTGGGCTCCATCTCTGCAGGAGGTCCGCCACGTGGGGTGCAGCAGAGGGCCAGTGAGGATGGGAGAGTGTTGGCACAAGAGCTGCAGGGAT